CAGGATCAGGTTATCAGAACAAATAAACTGGGTACGCTAGAGCAGCGGTCCCCAACCACCGGGCCGCAGACCGGTACCGGTCCATGGGTCATTTGGTGCCGGGCCGCACAGAAAAAAGTATATATATATATATATAAAACATATCGACGATCAGAGTCTGAGTGATGTTTTATTTTAAAAAAATTTTAAAAAGTGCCGTATTCTCTCCCAATTACATCGGTCGGTGCATCTGTGCTTCTTGACACAGGTTATTTCAGTTCAAGACTCATCCTATCTATCTATGTTTGTATTTGATTTTATGCCAGTCGTATAATTTTACTTGATCGTATTCCACATGACGTCTCCAAGTGTGCTCTCCAACATTCATTTCGTACATCAGCGGTGATAACCCTACTGGGAGGTAGGAGGCAGAATCTGAAGCCGTTTTACAATAACATCCAAAGTAGCTGCAAACAGCCAATTAGTACTTACAGTACTGTGTGATAGAAGACAGAATCAAACTGAGGAGAAACCCCATGAGTTATAGAGTAGGTCAGTTTTAAGGATGTACTTATGTTGAAAATAGTCATTACATAATATTAGTGGTGGGCACAGATTTATTTTTAATCTTAATGTAATCTTGGAATTAATCTAGATCGATCTAAATTAAATTCGCTCATTTGAATTCCACCAAAGGCATTTATATGTGTGTGCTACCTCCAGAAATTAAAATAACAGGTTTACTTTTTTATATGTTTGTAAAATCACACGTAATCTTCGTCTTCTTACTTACCTGGCAGAGATAGGTAGGTGATTGAAATAAGTAATAAGACCAGACATCTGTGCCAAGATCATAACAGAAATGTATTGTTTAAAAAAACATTTTAAGAATATGTGACTACTTTCTATTTACATCAATGAATATTTCAAAATCAAAGAGCCAAATTAAACTGTATGTAGAATTTATGTGCAAATTCAAAATTTGAAATGTTATCAGTCGTGATAACTCATGAAAATAGTACTTCAGGAAATAGACACAGAAATAAAGGCAATTCTTTCCTCTTTAATTTAAAAAAAATGTATCTACCTGTACTTTGAATCCTGCCTTTAAAATGTATTACCAGCATGTATTTGGTTGGTTTGGTATTGTAAGTTGAGTTTCTTTAACCGTTGGAGAAATTGGCCATTTAATCAATTTAAAGTAAATATTACTGAGGGCCGCTGTCATAAAATTTGGTATTTTCTCTGTACATGGTCCTTATTTATAATAATAAAATAAAACAGGCTTTATTGACAGATTATTTATTATTGACTGGATTAGGGCTAAAACATTTACCAGATTATTATTATTGTTATTAATCCATTATTGAAATAATCGTTAACTAATATAATAATTTATTAAATGTTGAATGGAGTATAGAGACTATAAAACATGGGGCAACTCACTTGGAGCAGTAATTATATCAAAAATATGTAAACATTTTGCATTTAAGATTAAAAAAAAATGTCAGTATGTTCAATCCAGAACTCCTAAAGTGGAAATATTTTTGTTTCACCCGGTTTAATTTAGTAAAAACCTTTGGTGTAAATGCAGTGGATTCAGTTTTTTTGCATAAAGCAGCTGTACCTGTTTTGACCATCAGAGGCCCCTCTCTTTTCTTTTGACAATTTGTTCTTGATCTTTTTGACTTATTTTTGTTCTTCTTGATGTAAACAGAAGCTGTTGTTACCATTGTTGGTTGAAAGACAAGATATTTATAAGAAAAGGTACCCCCCCATCCCATTCGGAGCTGCAAGCGGGGAACGTGTTCTACGGTGCATCAATAAAGAAACCATTAATAGTTAAAGAACTAGATTCCTCAGATGCTTGAATGGGCAGCAAAATTGGTTATCTGATTATAAGTTAGAAAAATATACGACAGATTAATTAATTTGCAAAATAACCGTTAGTTGCAGCCCTTAACTGAATATTTGTTTAAAAAATAAAAATATCTGTGATTTGTGCATTTCTTTACTTACCCACTCAGTGCTTTTATCCTGCTTTCCCACCTAGTCTCTAATTTCAAAATAGATGTATACCAATAACCAATTAAACCCCAAAAATACAATAAACAAATAAATGTAGGTAGAAATGAAATTATACAGTGAGACATAAATGTATATATCTCCTTTAATTAGGTTCTTTATTTATTCGTCTTTGTTATAATTAACTCATTTATTTATTGTCCTTTATAATCTTCAATTTTATTTATTTATTACTTATTTGTTTAAGTATTTATTTATGTGCGTGATATAATGTTGTTGTCTGTTTTATTCTTCCTTTTTTACCCTATTTATTTCTGCCTGTCGTTTTTACATTTCTGTACGCATTTCTGCCTCATAAAAAAATTCCATTTCTGCTCTAGCGGCCTCTATTGGCCAGCCGCCACTAGGTTTTAACATGTTTCAGGAGGACATCCAGAGAAGAGCCTGAATAACTGTGTTAATGCCCAAAGTAGCCAAGAGCATCTGGTCAGTTTTTGCAGCTTCTGCTACTACCAGACTCAAGGTGTGGGCGCCACATGGAACAAAAAAGCTTTTCAAGTTCAGCTGAAGCAACCCTAACCTGACACCTTTATTATTATTATTATTTTTTTTTTTATTTCAATTCATGTAGGTACTGTTTTCAGTATTTAGCCCTTCTTGTTATGGAAAAATCCACCTTGGGTTTTGAAGGAAAATGCCACTTATCAATTCATTGTTAGTTAATTGATAAGATCAATCAGCTTTAGATTAAAGGGATAGTTCGGTATTTTTGACATGAATCTGTATGGCATCCCCATCACCAGTGTCATGCAATCACACTGACTTACCCCTGGCAGCATCCTGTGAGCAGAGTTCTCGTCCAGTTTTGGTCAAGCCGAAAGTAGTCCGGCAGGTTTGCTAGACCCAGCGAAATAAAACGTTTCTCTTCCCAAAACATTATGTGTTCAAAAGAGTGATATTTTTGCATCCCAAAAACGTTGTAGTGGAAAAAGTCACATGTCGTTATCACTTGGTCCTATTTTCTCTCTGTTCGTATCAGTGCGCGCCGTCATTCAGACAGCGAGCTCAACAACAGCCAGATGCATGTCTCCCTCCGCCTAGCTCCTAGCTGGGCGGAGGGAGACATGCATCTGGCTGTTGTCAGGTTAGTAGGCCCTAGCTGTCTGAATGACGGCGCGCACTGATACGAACAGAGAGAAAATAGGACCAAGTGATAACGACGTGTGACTTTTTCCACTACAACGTTTTTGGGATGCAAAAATATCGCTCTTTTGAACACATAATGTTTTGGGAAGAGAAACGTTTTATTTCGCTGGGTCTAGCAAACCTGCCGGACTACTTTCGGCTTGACCAAAACTGGACGAGAACTCTGCTCACAGGACGCTGCCAGGGGTAAGTCAGTGTGATTGCATGACACTGGTGATGGGGATGCCATACAGATTCATGTCAAAAATACCGAACTATCCCTTTAAGTTGTTAATCAATTATTTGTATCCCTTGTTCCACATGATAGAAAGGCGACAGTGGCTGTAAAAACCACAGGTTACAGCCAAGCTGTGCAGAATACCATGTCTGAATGAACATTATGTTGAACTTTGGAGCTGATCAGCTGACCAAGAGCATTATACCGCAGTTAAAAAAAACTGTAAAGCCAGCTTGGATTTTGTTTAAATATGTAACAATGTCCAGTTAAAGCAACAGCCTTGCATGAACTGGGCAGTTTCTGTATTGTGGTTGAAAATAAGAGTGGTAAGAAAACAATCTTTTTCAAATAAACCTTATAAACCATCAAACCCGGCACACATTACATAATTTACTATAGGTGACATGATATTTAAATGCAAACAGTGAGCATCCAAAATTAAGAAACCCCTAAGGAAAACAAAGTGAATTATATATTAATTTTAAATCAGAATTTTCCTAATGACTCAAATTATGCCCAAAACAAGCCAAGATATCTTCTCCCATATCTCACCAGCTGAGCAATAACAAATGAGGTGACTATGTAATAAAAGTGTCATTTCTACATAAGGGACCTGAAAGGAACAAGGTTTTTTTATTTTATTGATGATAGGAATCACGTCTGAACTTGCGACTTTCCAAACATCATCTAGGTTGACATACTGAAGGGAGGCCCATGTTGAGCCAGGGTGTGCTGCCAATTTCTGTTGGTTAAAGGTTTAGTGAAGGATGCTCTTTTTCCGGGTGGATCATCAAAATAAGGGGTCCTCCTAATTGTCAATCAGTCTGGTCGTCCTACGCGCTTGTCCACATTTTCACTTACCAGTGACGAGTCTGACATGGTGGAAAAATTGCAAATCTTCTCCTGGAAAGAAAGCTTGGATGAGGGATGCAAACAGCAACTTTTAAACAGAACGTGCCCACAGAGAAATGGGCTTTTGCATGCTCTCCCACAGGTTTAATAGGCATTCCCTTTCAGGAGCGGGTAAAGGTTGTGCATGTGCATTTTATTAAATTTATTTCAAGTCGAGAGGACTGGTCTTTTCAAAAATTCACGAAAACCCTCTACTATACCTTCAATGTACTTCTTTATGTTGCAAACTGCGCTTTCTTCTCACTCATTTAGAAAAGCTATGAGTTATTTCCAATACCTGTCCTGTATGTTTTCTACATCTCCTACTTGGGCTGATGGAGTTGGGCTCTTTTGGGCCAAGGATCTTCTTTTTATTCAAAGGGGTTCATGGATGTGCTCCAAACTGTGCTCATTCAGAAACTATGCTCAGGCTGCCTCTTTTCCTCTGGCCACAAGATGGCACACCTTGATTAAATCAGGTGGCAGCCTTCAAATTTTAAACATAAAAACATTCTGAATTCAATAGAATAACCTACATATAATAAATCTCACTGCCCAGTGTTTAGAGGTTAAACAGAGCCACAAATCCAATATGAAGACTGTCATATTGTGAGGATTTCAAGGAAAAATGCAAGCGTGTGAAAGCGAAAGAGGGGGAGGTGAGGAATACAGTATAATGAGAGCCTCCAGAGCTGAGAGAACCTCTCAGTTTGAGATGTGAGTGGAGGCAAAAGCATACGGAAGGGCTTCTGCCTTAGTGTAGAGTTTAGCTTTAGAGTTTATCCCATCATGCAGACTCATCAAAAGGTCACCAATCCTGAATGAATGAAACTCAGATAAAGGTGGGTGACCTGGGAACTATGGAGAGGTTCTCCTGCTGCTGCTTTGCATGGATTCTTCTGAGTGGAAGTTTTTATCTGGTAAGTCTATTTTAACAGATTTAACAACTTTAATGGGAAATCAGTGGCTCCTGCAGATATTATTAGCAGTAATTTATATCTATTGGATCCCCATTAAACAGGTGATCTATTGTTCTAAAATAAACATTCATAACTGGATAGAATACGCTTATTGTTAAATTTTCTATTTTTTATACTTAAAAAATGAAGAGCTTCAGTTAAGTTGGATTTATGTTTAACATTCCTAATTTAGTGCATCAACGTATTTCTTAATTAATATTATTGGTTGCAGGAAACAAATTATTTTTTTCAGTCAAGGACATACAGTCACAATTATATATCTATTTTTTTATGCTTTTTTAATCAGTGTCATAAATTTAAATTTAGGCAATACATTTAAACTTTGGGCTGGCTAACAATACCAAAACAGCTTTAATTAATTTTGATTTTAAGAACTAGGTGTAGGGTTTTGCAGAAGTTGTCTCTCATCGAAATAGATTTAAACACATAAATGCAGGCTGAAATATAAGCATCTTTCCGTACAGAAGTTTGGATAAAAATCCCTGACAAGTTTGCAGAGCAATTTCACATGTTAAGTAGCCATTAAAATGGAAATTATTTATTCAAATTAATTAATTCAAATAGATTTTTTTGTGTTTGAGATACTTACTCCTAATTTAAGAAATGTTTTACTTATTTATAGATGCTTTTTGCACTGTATTTGCAAAGTGGTTTAATTATGACAGAAAAGTCTAATCATAAAAACATATAGATATATATTTAAAAATAAATACTGGGCAAGTATCTCGTCGAAACAGTCACCCTTAGATAAAATGGAAACTTTTCAGATGAATAAGGAGCAAATAAAGAAGTATAACAATACAACAATCTCATCATCTCAAAGCTGCAGCTGTATCTCTGTCTTCACTGAAGTCAGTTAAACAGCAGCCTGTTCTTAGAGACAATCAAAGCAAAAACTGAGCCATGGAAACAAAACCAGCTAAAATGTACAGGTGCTGGTCATAAAATTAGAATATCATGAAAAAGTAGATTGATTTCAGTAATTCCATTTAAAAAGTGAAACTTGTATATTATATTCATACATTACATACAAACTCATATATTTCAGATGTTTATTTTGTTTAATTTTGATGATTACAAATGACAACAAATGAAAATCTCAAATTCATCATATCAGAAAATTAGAATATTACTGAAGACCAATAAAAACAAAGGATTTATAGAAATGTTGGCCAACTGAAAAGTATGAACATGAAAAGTATGAGCATGTACAGCACTCAGTATTTAGTTGGGCCTCCTTTGGCCTGTATTACTGCAGCAATGCGGCGTGGCATGGAGTCGATCAGTCTGTGGCACTGCTCAGGTGTTATGATAGCCCAGCTTGCTCTAATAGTGGCTTTTAGCTCTTCTGAATTGTTGGGTCTGGTGTATTGCATCTTCTTCTTCACAATACCCCATAGATTTTCTATGGGGTTAAGGTCAGGAGAGTTTGCTGGCCAATTAAGAACAGGGATACCATGGTCCTTCAACCAGGTACTGGTAGCTTTGGCACTGTGTGCAGGTGCCAAGTCCTGTTGGAAAATGAAATCTGCATCTCCAAAAAGTTGGTCAGCTGCAGGAAGCATGAAGTGCTCTAAAACTTCCTGGTATGTGGCTGCGTTGACCCTGGACCTCAGAAAACACAATGGACCAACACCAGCAGATGACATGGCACCCCAAACCATCACTGACTGTGGAAACTTTACACTGGACTTCAAGCAACGTGGATGAAGTGCCTCTCTTCTTTTCCTCCAGACTCTGGGACCTTGATTTCCAAAGGAAATGCAAAATTTACTTTCATCAGAGAACATGACTTTGGACCACTCACCAGCAGTCCAGTCCTGTTTCTCTTTAGCCCAGGCAAGACGCTTCTGACGCTGTCTGTGGTTCAAGAGTGGCTTGACACAAGGAATGCGACAGCAGAAACCCATGTCTTTCATACGTCTGTGTGTGGTGGTTCTTGAAGCACTCACTCCAGCTGCAGTCCACTCTTTGTGAATCTCCCCCACATTTTTGAATGGGTTTTGTTTCACAATCCTCTCCAGGGTGCGGTTATCTCTCTTGCTTGTACACTTTTTTCGACCACATCTTTTCCTTCCCTTCGCCTCTCTATTAATGTGCTTGGACACTGAGCTCTGTGAACAGCCAGCCTCTTTAGCGATGACCTTTTGTGTCTTGCCCTCCTTGTGCAAGGTGTCGATGGTCGTCTTTTGGACAACTGTCAAGTCAGCAGTCTTCCCCATGATTGTGTAGCCTATAGAACTAGACTGAAAGACCATTTAAAGGCTTTTGCAGGTGGTTTGAGTTATTTGCTGATTAGAGTGTGGCACCAGGGGCCATCAATTTTGAACCTTTTCACAATATTCTAATTTTCTGATATGATGAATTTGAGATTTTCATTTGTTGTCATTTGTAATCATCAAAATTAAACAAAATAAACATCTGAAATATATGAGTTTGTATGTAATGTATGAATATAATATACAAGTTTCACTTTTTAAATGGAATTACTGAAATCAATCTACTTTTTCATGATATTCTAATTTTATGACCAGCACCTGTAATCTTCCCACACATCAAACCACATGTCTTAGATAGAAACTATTTATGACCAAAGAAGGTATATATATATATCAGTTTTGCCACAATACTAGAAATACTGAAAAAAAAAAAAAAAATCAGTGTTACGTCCTTAAAACATGAAAAACGTTCCAACTTTTAGGTTTGGTAGTGATAGTTTGGGTAGTGATGGCAGTATGCTGTGGGTATTTTGCACAAAGTGAAGGAAGGAATAATAAAGCATCTTTTAAATGATTTTACTGTACAGGAAATTGGGAACACAAAATACAAGAAATGTATGCAATTCTTTCACTTGTTCTAAATAATTTTACCTTTCCTGGCTTTTTTTTTTTCCATCACCACTTTTTCCCCGCGATTTTGGTGAGGTTAAGCATCTCTCCTCTAAAAACCTACATCTGGTGCTGGCAGCAAATTAAATACTACTCAGCCTCCTATATATAATTATCCATCATAGCGTTGATGCATAAAATCCAGGCTTTATATTAAATGAAAAATTGCATTCTACCAGGCCCAGTAAACTGGTTGGAAGCTAACATTGAGATGTTGGCCTAGTACAGTTCTACCACAAAACAGTAAGAAGATGTTTTAAGTTTTATGGACTTTGATTAACAGTCATATTAGCCAATATATAGCCAATTTAGATTAAATTTACCAACAAGAGCATAGGTCACTTAACGGCTGTGGTTTCTCTGTAACCTGCAAAAGGACATTTATCTAAGATAAAGATATTGTTTTGGTTGGTAGGTATGATTGAGAATCTATTTAGATAAGAGACATCCACCATTAATTCCAACTTGTGCACAAAAAAAGTTAAAATTAATCAAGAACATCCAGAACCAAATATTCTTAAGCCATTGCTGGGTGCATGTCTTACTAGTGTGTATTTAATGAATACACTTGCTGAAAGCAGCTTTTTTAACGGATGTAGTTTGGATCTGTGCTGCTTACGGCTCTTTTAACTCAAAAATTCATAGCTCATAATTTCTCATTTCTTTTTGTCCAGTTGGTTCTTTGTCAACATGAGAGTCAGAGCAACTTCACCTCCAGCTACTCAGCATCTCTCCAACTCCAAAAAGACCAAAGGGAATATCGACAGCAGGTCTGGGGACTTCAGACCAAGAGTTTGATTCAAAACTCTAAAGTGCTCAATAGCCCTTATGTTCCTCTATCAAAGCAGGGACTTTGGGAAGTCTTTGAAGGTAACTCCAAGTCCAACTCCAACCCTTCTTTAAAGATAAAGCTCCCACCCATCATGGATGTTCAAGGATTATCTAAACTGTCAAGATTGTTCACCTGGGGTGACTTTTATTCCAACATCAAAACTGTTAAGCTGAATTTGCTGATAATGGGGAAGATCGTGGACCACGGTAACGGTTCTCTTGGAGTCTATTTCCGTCACAACTCCACTGGGGTTGGGAACGTGTCCGTCAGCCTGGTCCCACCTATGAAAGAGGTGGAGTTTGACCTGGAGCGCCAGAGTGTGGTCCATCCCAAAGAGTCGAAGACGTTCAACTGCAGGGTGGACTACGAAAAAACCGAACGTAGCAAGAAGGTGATGCTGTGCAACTATGATCCATCAAAGACCTGCGACCAAGAACAAACCCAGAGCCACATCACCTGGATTTGCTCCAAACCCTTCCAGGTCATCTGTGTCTACATGTCTTTCTACAGCACAGATTACAGGCTGGTCCAGAAAGTCTGTCCAGACTACAACTCCCAGAACCCAGCCTACCGGCCCACAGGATAAACCTGGGTCCAGGTTAGGGGGGGAAGAAAGACGCCTTAACACCATAGTGTTGAAGTTTGACTTTTTAAAACTTTGTCCCAAAAAATATTTGATTAAACACTGTTAAATAGATATTTAGATTAGGTGTGCTGATAACAAAAGGATGGCTGAGATTATGTTTCTGTAATAAGTGTAAATAAAAGTTGAAACTTAAAACACCCAAGTTGATGTAACAATTAGGTGACTGATTTGCAACATTTTGCAAAGGTGTAGAAATATGACCTTTATTGTGTATAATCTTTAAGTGCTGTTCATGTCACGCCTTCCCAATTTTTGGTTGTCTGGTTCCAGACGTATTTTAAAACACTTTGTATCCTACCTGTACATTTTTCATCATTTCTTGAAAACGTGGCTGTGTAATTCCTATATACATACCTTCCATCAGGAGGTGACAGAGGTATTTGGGTTGATCGGGGTTCATAATGTCAATGCAAACCCAAACAGAAGCAAAATTCAATAGAATAAGGTTGCAACGATGCGGGGAGACCAGGGACAGTTGCAAAATAGGATGGTTGCAATATGTCTTTTTTTCTCCATTGAGGTAAAGCTAGAGTAACTCATACTGGACATGCAAAGATATTGTTATACCGATGTCACCGTTTTTTTTTTTTTTTTATCTAGCTCAAACCTATATAGGATAATTGAGTGATAAGTTTACTTTCAGGTAATATTGTTAGTATGTCTCAGGATCACACAGCTTAGTGTGATTTAATTACATCGGACAGAGAGAGGGAAAGCCGCCCCCTTTTGATATAAAATAACATTTTAAACATTTTTTTATTAGTTAGGTGGATTATGTATCCATCCATATCTTTGTACAACTGGGCATAAAATGAAATCGCAATAAGTAATTCTTTCTTAAAATAAGTGAATTTTTTGAATTGAGGATGCAAGTTCAACATTTTGCCAATGGAACGAGACAATTTACATTTAAAATAACAAAAAACAATCGTATTGTCTTATTTCAAGTGCATATTATCTAATTATCTTATTTTAGCTTAAGTAAAACTACTCATTTTATTGGCAAATCATCTCATTTACCTGCTCAAATTAAGGCTATATACACTTAATTTAAGAAATGTTTTACTTATTCATAGATGCTTTTTGCAGTGTATTTTCAAAGTGGTTTAATTATGACAGAAAAGTCTAATCATATAAAAACATAGATATATATTTAAAAAAAAAAATAAATGCATACCATAATCATATATCCTAATGGATTATGGAGTATTAATGGCAGTTTTACAGTTATGTATAAAATATTGCTCATTAACAGTTTTGGTTTCCGACGATGGTTTTAGAAGACTAGTTTTGTCAAATGTTAATTTTTTCTTCATTAATTCATGTATTAAAAACTGACAAAATAAGTCGATTGTCTTACAGATTCTTTATTGTTCCTATTTCAATGCAAGTCCACTGTATTGTATATTAATTTGAATCTTTGACATCTGCATGTAAAGTTCACTTATTGGGACAATAAATTCTATTGTTTTCTGACCTAAGCTGATAAATAACACTTTGATGTATATATGTTTCAATTAATAATGGAAATAAAACATTAATACTTACGTTTCTTAACAATCCAATAGAGTGTATTTGTATGTTGCAGCAATGCAGAAAAAATGTTGGAAATGTCCTTGGGCCGAGGTCAGTTGCGACATCCTTTATAAATAATCATTTAAATTCTTTATGCATCAAACTAATTTCAGGAATAAAGATACAAAACACAAACAGCAGTTCTTTAATGGTAATTTTGCTTAAATAACACATGAGTAGAAGTGCGGTAGCTCTGCAATGCTTTAGGTGATGATGCACGTTCTTTTGTGCCCTCCTTAATAGGTTAATGATTCACTCTTTAGGGTATTTTGGTTCTTGTTCCACCTCAGTGTATGACTAGTTGAATTAATCCAAAGATTTTGCTTGATTAAAATAAATTTCTAACGTAAAAATTTTCCTTTTTTTCTCTTTACATAGAGCATAGTTGGTTTGATTAATTCTGTTCCTTGAATAAATTGAAGTCTTTAAAATGCCTTGTGTTTACTTAGATCACACTGTCTAACACAAATTATTTTGATGATGTGCAAAAAGCAAAAATAACTTAAGAGCTATTTAAATAATAAATACATTTTACAGCACTATAATCTATAGCAAGCATCCCCAAACTCGGTCCTCAAGGACCCCTGTCCTGCAGGTTTTAGAGGTTTCTCTGCTTCAGCACAGCTGGTTATAATGATTGCAGTAGACCAAAAGCCTGTTAATCAGCTTTCAATTAAAAACCTGCTTGCGACAACTTAACCCAAAGGTTTATTTTAACATAAACCACTGCACCAATGTTTCAAATTTTGAAAAGCTTCATATACAGGAAGAAAGCTAAAAAGACACAAATGACAGATATATTTTAACAATTATTTAACTGAATTCACAAACTTGGTTTTAGCAGGGAACAAAACAAATCAGCTTTAAAGCCATCTGAACCAATAATTGGTGAGCCAAGGCCTTAGTTTTATTTTGAGGAATTCAATGCCTTTTAAGACTTTTTAAGGACCCACGGGAACCATGTTTATAGAGAGGATTTCTAGATGCAGAAAAGGGCAGGAGGGGATCTGATTTTGGGAGCAGTGGTTTTCTCTCTGCCTTTTGCAGATGATGTGATTCTGCTTGCTCCCTCCTGTCAAGACCTACAGCATGCCCTTATGTGGTTCGCAGCCGAATGTGAAGTGGCCGGGATGAGAATAAGCTCCTCCAAGTCCGAGGCCATGGTTCTCAACCAGAGAAGAGTTCCTTCCTCAAGTGCAGTAAAGCCACATCTCCTCCACATCAAGAGGAATCAGCTGGCGTGGCTCGGACACCTTTGTCGGATGCCCCATGGTTTCCTTCCTTGGAAGGAGTTCCACATACATCCCTCCGGGAGGATGCCCTGCGTACGATCCTTGACTTGCCTGAGAGCACTGAAGGCTTCCCTCAACAGAGCTGGAAGAGATTTCTGTGCAGAGAAAAGTCTGGGAGCCTCAGCTGAGATTGCTGCCTAAAGAACCTGATTCCCGGATAAAATGACAAGAACTAGTACGAATTAGTAAAAATAGATAAACACTAAGAACAGCTATGTTTATTTAAACACTGTTGTAGGAAATGGGGGAACAAATTGGAAAAGATGTGAAATAACTTTAAAAGATTAGAGGATAAATATGAATATGTAACAATTTATCAATTAAAACTGAATAAAAAAATAAACATCTCTGAATTAATCATGTAAACCCAACAGCTAATAGAGCTTGGCCATTGTATGGGAAGCCAAGTAAACATCTTTACGTTGGAGAGGACTGGTTTTCCTTCCTAACCTACCACTGCTTCTACTTGGAAACATTTCTACAACAGGAAAGAGGTAAATAGACAAGCAGAGAGAAGCGTGAGCTGGGTTGAAAGAATAATCTTACAACCCAGCTCAAAGAAAGGAAAAAGTTACGGCTGTAAAACGTGATTGAATTGTTTTCTCATATTCTCCTCCACCTCTCTAATCGGTAAGCCATCACATTTTACAAGTCGGGATATAAATATCCACAGTGATCAGGGGGAAAAGAAGGTAAACTAAACTAAATTCTTGGATCTCTTTTTCAGAAGAGACAAAGCAACTGTTTGGAAACAGTAGAACAAGGGATTGCTCACTCCATACAGACCAATCAGACATATGCAGAAGGGAAGTAACAATAATAGTCCATTCATCTATAGAGGACCTGTTAGTTTTTCAAATCTGAATACGTTTACCCAAATTAAAGTCTGGAATCCCCCCAATTTCTTAGTGTGAGATTAAGATTTTGGAAAGAGATAAATTCACTTTTCTGCATCTATAAACAAAGGAGGAGCAACAAAAGCCAAGGTTATATATTCTTTTTCCTAAGCTCTGCATTTGTGAAGGCTGCCATATAACTCAAGAAAAATGTGAAAATGTTATTTCATATAAAAAAAATATATAAAAAAAAATTCAAGACAAGGTCAGGACCACATTCAATACAAAATAGTTGTGGTTTATTTTTCTGGGAACAAAAAATGGCAACAGCTAAGTGTCACTTCTCAAAATCAGAAATATCTACAGGAAAAGAAACAACGGTTCCTTCTATCATTACCCTTTTCCATCAGGTTGAAATGATAACTTCAAATGTAGAGTCAGGGTTAAAAACTTAAAAAAAAATACAAGAAAAAGTACAACCCCTTAAATTCTAGGGTTTTACTTATTTTGTACATATTTAGCATTATTGGGTTTTAATTCATATTAACAAACCTTTTCCATTTTGGCATCATATTTGTTAAATAAATAATGGTTTGGTTTAAATAATTTCAGAACCTGGTAAACAATAAAACCCAAGAACTGACAGAGGGTGTACTTTCTTTTTACAATGACTGTATTCTGTGGTTCAAGACGTTTACTTTGTCTACAATTGATATATTCTGAACATTAAAACGTGTTCATTGCAATTTCATTTCCCTTTAGTCTTTAGGCTGCAAAGAAAAATCTTGTCTGGTCTTTCAGTTTGACAGCTGAAAATGCTCTCGCTCCAAAAACACAAGTGTCTGTACATGTTCCTATGGAAGCAAAAATAAAACGGCTCTGAGGGAAAACGAAGGAAATCTGAGAACATCGACATGTCTGGCTGAACCCCTTCCTGGAGGTTTTCCTCTCCTGATGGGGTAGTTTGGACATTTTCTTGTCCCTTCATGGGTAAGGACACACAAGCACAAATTCCCCCAAGAACGAAATCCAGTTGTGCGTTACTATTATCTCTTTACTTATGCTTCGTTTTTCCTGCCAGCTAAGAAAGTAAAAAGGACCAAGGTGAAGCTCGGACAGTTCTATGCAGGCGTACATGTGTGGTTTTTGTCACTTGCTGATAGATCTTCTTAAAGGGAACTTTGTGGTGGTGGTCCAGCTGGGTTTAAAAGTCCATGAAGCTCGCTTCATTGTGTGCTTGCCTACAGTATTTCTAGGTTACTGCTGGTTAAGAGTC